TTGAGGTTCAATTCAAATAATCTAAATCTAACTTTAAACTTTAATATAAATCTAATTTAAATCATCAATATTATAGCATAATTCATTATTTCATCCATATAATCTAACCCATAATATCTTTGTTTTTGCGTGTATTATGTGGCTTTTTGGTCAAAGGTATTACGATTACCACCTTAATCTGCCTCAGCTATTCGATGGACCAAACTAACCTTGCCTTTGCAACCTTAACCTATCTATAAATCTTAATCCTCATAATTTTGCTATAATACTAATTATTTTTTACTATTTTATTTTTGTTAGCAAGATTTGCAAATGAAAAAATAGATTAAATAAAAAAATAGTTTTTGTGATTATGATTTATAGCTGAAAAACTAGTTTATATGATAAAAAGTGTTTGGTAAAATTAGCTGAAATAAAAATTTCAACGAGCTTATTTGAAAAGTTACTTACCCAATAGCACTTGGATGAGATGGTTTGGGTCTCTTCCAGCTTAACCAGTGGTCTCGTGTTCGAGTCCTGGGAATGCAACAGTGTTAAAACTCTTGAGGGAGAGCTTTGCCGCCCTTGTGGTCCTACCCGACTCGATTCCGAATTAGTCGGTTCCCCTGTGGATCCGGAAACCGGAAGGTCCCTGTACCAAAAAAAAAAAGTTACTTAAAGAAGCTTTATGTGAATACAAGAAACTTATAAGCTAAACAAATAAGCTATAATATAGCTTACTTGGCTACCAAACATCATCGCTTAAGTATTTAAAGAAAGAAATTGCTCACGGTTTTAATAACTAGTATATATAATCACTGTAAATTATTTAATCTTATCACAGTGTTCTCTTTTTCTCTTCTTTGTAGGCACCGTGATTGGTTCTTCATGGTAGTTGGCCTACGTACGGTTGTAAAACTCTTTTATTTTTTATTGGAGCTTCTCTACCGTTTCGAAATAATTAATAATTAATTAAGTAGTATATATGTTTGATTTAGGTCTTGCTTATGCATTAGCGTTATTGCTATCAAATGCACGTGGTACCTAAAAATGCATGCAAGATGAGTTATATTTTGAACCAATGATGCTTAAATTATAATTACTTTATTGCAATTTATTTGATAATTATGAACAAAAATGTGCGTAAACTCTCTCAGAAAACCACTCACAAACTCGACTAGCAACTACTGAATGAGTAGATCGATGGATCAATATGTTTAAATTAGGTATTGTCATGCGGCAACATATACGTCATCATGATTAAATGCACGTCCAACCTAGAAAGTGTATGAAAAATGAATTTTATTATGATGAACTAACAATGCTTGTATAAATTATTATTACTTTACCGGAACTTAATTGATATTTATAAACAAGAATGTGCATAAACTCTTTGAAAATCACTTGCAAACTCAATCAACATAACTACCAAGCGAGCAGACTGATTAATTAATGTGTTCAACTAATTATGTATTAATGTCTAGACGACACACACGTTATTACTAGTAAATGCACTACTAATTACCTAAAAACGCTTCCCACGTAATTTTTAGTATTATCCAACTCGCATAACTTGTTGTACTTTACAATAACTTAGTCGTTAACTATTTGCCAAGATGTGTCCCAAGTCTTTCAAAATCACTCAACAGACTCAACCAGCAACTACTTGATGAATAGATCGATCGGTCAGTGATGCAGCACGTGGTAGACAAAAGGGAGAATTGTTCTTGAAGAGCTCAAGAAACCAGAAGAATATAAATCTTATTATTAACAACTGCGTAAAAGTGTTTGATAGGAGTACAATATATATAGGGGAAACCCCAAGTCTCCTAATTATTATTCCTAATATTTATCTTGTTAGGCAAGACAAATAATAATCCCAAATAACATGCAATAAAGATAAACATAATATAAACTAGGAAATAATAAATAGATAACTAAATATGAAGTCTCTTGTATTTTTCCATATAAGCGAACACGGCTTCATCTGCATCAGTCAGTATATTCTAATTAAGTATTGTCTACACGATACATATACGTTATCACTTAAATGCACGCCAAACCAAAAATTGCATGCAAGATGAATTTAACTATCAACTAGGGATGCTACTTGTATAAACTGTTATTACTTTATCACGATTTAATCAATAACTATAGACAACACAACATACTAACTCTCACAAAATCACTCATCAAACTCAACTATCAGCATAACATATATAGACTGATCTGTTAGTATATTCAAATTAGATATTGTCTATTCAACACACACGTTATCAGCATTTCTAAAACTTGTATATCGATAGAGCGCACCGAAAGTTCAAAAATTGCATTTCACTCCATATGAAATCAATGTATTGTGACATGTTGCAAATGTACCATTACATAACTTTTAAAAAATTACGAATGACTTTATAAATCTAGTAATATGTTCACTATAATCATTTGTGGATTGATTGTTTAATAGTGTAAGGTAATATAGTTAGTATTATGTGAATGTGACGTAAATCCAATTCTAAATCCTGTAAATAGTAATTAGGAAACGTAAAATCTGATGTAACAGTTTACCTTCATTTCCTGTTTTTAACCTTTGCATCTTCACCCCAGCCCAGGTAATGTTTTATTCCTTTTATTATTATTATTATTATTATCTGAATTATATGATTATTATCTGTGCTCATTTCTCTCTCTCTCTACGTGTATATATATATATATATACACACACACACGCACAGAGGACACACACAGAGTGCCAAATCTCATCAGAGCGAAAACCCCCCCTTTCTAAATTCTCGATCTCTACCAGTTGAAAAATCTATCACCTTCCCTTCTCAATCTCATTCAATCCAGTGAATCGTCAAGAAACCCTGCTGATGTAGATTATTTATTTGATTTTTTTTTTTATTTGCAATCGATGTATCATTTTCCATCATTTGTTTATTGATCTGGAAATTCATCTGTGTTTCTCGATCTGTGAATTGCGATTTTTTACGTGTTTTTATGGGCAATTGATTGTGTGTCGCTTTTCTGAATCCGTCAGCGGAGGTTGGTGACGGGTTTTCTCCCCGTTGGAGATGGGGATTGAATGTTTTTAGGAATTAAAATTAAAAGGAAAAAAAAAAAAATGCCAGGGATAGCGCAGAGGGTTATGAATGATACTGGTGTTGACGAGGATGATGGTGATGTTAGCTGCCACAACCCATTGGTGAGGAATGGGAAGCTTTCCTTCCATTCTTTTAATGGTTCGTCTGTTTCCAGTAATGGGTTTTGGTCCCAGCACCGTGATGACTTGAGCTACAATCAGCTGCAGAAGGTATATATACGTGCACGTGTTTTTTTGCTGTGTTTTTTCTAATGATTGAGTGGTTGGTGTGAATTCTAGTTTGAATTTGTGGTTAATTTGCTGTGGTGCTTGAGCTGTTGTAATTATAATTCACTGGAAATTATTGTTGTTTCATTTTGTACAGATCCAAATTAGTAATGTGGGAATTGAATGGGTTGTGCTTTTGTTGTTTGTTTAGGTAATTGTTTAAGAAGAGTGCCCCCCATTTAGAAACATCAAACATTGTTATGTTGTTAATCTTGTGAGCTGGAATTACGGGACAGATCGATTGTTTTAATGATAGAATCTTCGTTTGCGTAAGTAGATTAAGATAGTATCCGCACGTGGTTTTACGGAGAAATGTGAATTTGATGAATCTTGCTGATTTAGTAACGTGCTTGTCGTTTTGTCACATTGTAATCATATTTAAAAATCGCGCCTAGACGAAAGTTGGTGGTTTCAGTAAATGGTTTTTTCTAATTCTTTATCCGGATGGGTTTGGTCTTTAGGTTTTAAGTCTGTTTTCCTTTTTTAGATTAAGGTACTTTTTCGGTAATGACCTTTTAAAATTTTTAGACCCTAAGGAAAGTGAATGTACTTGTGATTCTGGTGTGCATGCTTGCACCTCTATGCCATCCCCGACAGCCATTGAAAGTGATTGATATGTGCTACTTGTCCCGTCCAGATTTGTTGTTCGGAAGGGATTGGCTTACGGAAACTTAAACTGTACATATCTTAAAATTAAGGTGTGATAGATATGTTTGGTAGTTGACATTTATCTAATTATCGTTTGACATATCCAAGTTGGCACCTTGTTGCCTACGCCCCCGGTGCTCGGCAGTGAGACTTTCTGCTTTAACATCACTTGTCGCATGCCATTTATGTATATTTCTCCCTTTTTGTTTATTTTTTGTGCATGTGTACTATGTGTATTGCCAATTCTCATTTATTCTGGTCTCATGTCTATGATCGTGTTTTCTTTACCGTATTATAAGTTATAACTTCATTGATACAACTAATTTTTTTTTTCTTCTTTTGTATGTTGGTACTAGATGTTACTTTTTCGATTGATTGATGACAAGTAATATCCAAAGAGATTCATTACTGAACATCAGTCTTTGGTTTTGTTGCAGTTTTGGTCTGAGCTCACGCCGCAAGCTCGACAGGATCTTCTGAGAATAGACAAGCAGACACTGTTTGAGCATGCCCGTAAGAACATGTATTGTTCTAGGTGCAATGGTTTGTTGCTTGAAGGTTTTTTGCAGATTGTCATGTATGGAAAGTCTCTACAGCAGGATGCAAATGGGAGTCCTTACAGTGGGAAAGCCACAGACTATGAAAATGATGCTGACTTGTGTATGGCCAGTGGGTGCAAAGATGATATCCAAGATCCAGCAGTCCATCAGTGGGGTGGATTGACCACAACCCGGGATGGGACACTCACACTTTTGGACTGTTATCTTTATTCAAAGTCCTTAATGGGGCTCCAAAATGTAATCACTTTTCTTGATGCTGCTAATGTTCTGCAGTCGATTGGAAACATTTTTTTAACCTGCTTTTGTTTGATTAGGTGTTTGACAGTGCACGTGCTAGGGAAAGGGAACGAGAATTGCTTTATCCTGATGCATGTGGTGGAGGTGGACGAGGATGGATGCGCCAAGGAGTTGCAGGATATGGTAGAAGTCATGGAACAAGGGACACATGTGCACTTCACACTGCCCGATTGTCTGTAGAGACATTGGTGGACTTTTGGTCCGCACTGGGAGAGGAGACTCGACATTCTCTTTTAAGAATGAAAGAGGAAGACTTTGTTGAAAGGCTCATGTATAGGTAAGCTTCCTTCTTTAGATATACATTGAAATATATCAGTTGTCCTTGACTCCTCGCATCTAAAATAAACAAAAATGAATTCTATATCATTGAAGGCCATTAGTGGAATAAAGCTGTTGGTATTCTCTGGAGCTCCAATACTACCATATACTCTCTGTTGATTGTTGGATGTGATAAAAATGTTTTGATCCAATTTTTTCAGGTTTGACAGCAAAAGATTTTGTCGAGATTGCAGAAGAAATGTTATACGCGAGTTTAAGGAGCTGAAGGAGTTGAAACGCATGCGGAAGGAAACCCGATGCACAAGTTGGTTTTGTGTGGCAGACACGGCTTTCCAATATGAGGTTTTTCATTTGGACTATGTTACTATTGGAATTTCCCTTGCTTTAGGCTTTTGGATCCAATGTTATGAACATTTTATTCCAGTATTTAGACATGCAATTGATCAGATTGGTGTTGCTGGAATCATGATATGCTTTTTTTTTTTTTTTATTATCAGGTTTCTCGTGATACAGTTCAGGCTGATTGGCAGCAAACATTTTCAGATACTTTTGGAACATATCGTCACTTTGAATGGGCTATTGGAAGTGAAGAAGGAAAATATGATATCTTGGAGTTTGAAAATGTTGGTTTGAGTGGAAGGGTTCAAGTGAATGGTCTAGATTTGAGTGGGCTAAATGCCTGCTATATAACTGTACGGGCCTGCAAAATGGATGGACGCATCAATGAACTGCGTGTGAAAGCCCATGCATTGCGAGGCCAACAATGCGTTCATTGTAGGCTTGTGGTGGGTGATGGTTTAGTAATGATTACAAGAGGAGAAAGTATTATCAGGTTCTTTGAACATGCAGAGGAGGCTGAGGAAGAAGAGGTATCTCTACCTGTGGTTCAATTCGCTGTCAGAGATGAATAATCAGTTTCATTTTTCTTTGACATTCAAGTTCTTTACCTGTAGCTCTGTATATCTTTTTTGTCATAGTGTCACGTGACAGTTTTTGTTTTATCTCTAGGATGATGATTCCATGGACAAGGATGGAAATGAGCTTGATGGTGAATGCTCCCGCCCGCAGAAACATGCCAAGAGTCCTGAACTTGCTCGAGAATTTCTCCTAGATGCTGCGACTGTCATTTTCAAGGAACAGGTATCTGTTTTTTATTTTCCACCAATAATTTTAAATTTTAGGACCAAATCGTACATTTTAAAATCTATGTATCTGTTTTTTATTTTCCACCAATAATTTTAAATTTTAGGACCAAATCGTACATTTTAAAATCTATCGACAGTTGAATTAATTCATATTTTTTGCTTATGTTCTTTATGCTCCATTACCGTGCCGAAGTTCTAGTTTTACGCTTACTGATCTTCCAGCGTCTTTTGGCAGGTCGAGAAAGCTTTTAGAGAAGGAACAGCTAGGCAAAATGCTCACAGCATTTTTGTTTGTCTTGCTCTCAAGTTACTGGAAGAACGTGTACATGTTGCATGCAAGGAAATCATCACTCTAGAAAAACAGGTGCCTGATCTCTGATAATGCATGAAGTTCTGATTCAGATGTTGCCTAGATTAATAACTCCCACTTCTCAATAGGATACACTCTTGATATCAAGTTCGGTTTCGATTCTGCAGATGAAACTTCTAGAAGAAGAGGAAATGGAAAAGCGCGAAGAAGAAGAACGAAAGGAGCGAAGGAGAGCAAAAGAAAGGGAGAAGAAGCTCCGGAGGAAGGAAAGGCTACGAGAAAAGGAAAGTCGGGAAAAGAAATCTGCCGACTCTAACTTAGATGCTGTGGTGACTGATGTTTCAAATGAGGATTCGGCACCCTGTATTGACGAGAAGGTCCATGATAATGTCTGCAGCAGAGATTCTAGCGGTGAAAGAGCCGAACCTGCTCCATCTGTCATGTTGTCCCCTGATACTCATGTCGAGCAGCACCGCCAGCTTTCAACGGGTTACGCTCACTCGAATATGGATAGTCCTTCAGAAGATATTGTGGAAGGGGAATACGGCAACACGGGAGATTGGAACCCGTCTTTCCCGTACGACCACCTCAAGTATTCTCGCAGGAAGCTGAAGTTTCGCAAGGATTCGCCTCGGGATTTGAACTTGAGATGGCCAGATAGGAGAAGAGGTCCAGCATTATCGGGCAATGGGGCTACCGCTGGCAAATATGAATCAAGGTCTCATGCTGATGGTTTAAATGGTTTTAATAAGCAATTAAGAACCAATGCTGCCAAGTCTAACCTTAGATATGGCAACAAGTCAAGTGAAAAATTCCAGTGCACAAATATCAGAACCGTGGATAGCTACGATTCACATTCCTGCAGCTGTAACTATCACCTTGACTACAGATCAAGGTCTGAACCACATATCGCGAGAGCAGGCCGAGATCCCAAGTGTGCCAGTAAGCTGGAGTCGCCTCCCGAGATCTCGTCAAAAACGTTTAATCGTGGCAAAAGGTATACTCAAGTGGAGCCTGCACGTGATAACAGCGGCCGACTTAAAAACAAGATAATTGCTGGCACCACTCCCAATATTAAGAAAGTGTGGGAACCATTGGATTCGCAAAAGAAATGCATCCGCAGCAACTCGGATTCCGACGTCACCTTGAGATCCACAGCCAAAGTTGAGGCTTCTGAATCCGATCAAATCCCTGAATGTTGTTCCACCAGTTCTGATGAAGTTACTGATATTTCAGTACAAACCAATCACGAGGACCATCATGCAAGGGATTTATCAAATTCCATAGCTGAGAAATGCAGAGATACTGACAGTACAATGGAAAAGCCCCAAGATTCGTCAATGAGCAACTCGTCTAACTCTGATAACGGCTCGTCCTGTCTCAGCGAGGGCGACAGCAACATGTACTCAAACGCCCACAATCTCGAATCAACATCCACTTCAGATGGAAAAGAAATTTCCAACTGCTTTGAAAGTACTTCGTCTTACAGAGTCGCAGCAGAAGATCAGAGTGCATCAAGGGGGCAGGACGGTAAAATGAAGGTACCTGCCTCAGCCACAACAAATTTGCTTGACAATGTTTCTAATGAATCCACTAAATTTAGCGAAAATGGGAAAGTAAGCATCAGAATAGGCACTCAGTCTCAGAGTGTTCTTACTCAGTTGCAAAATAGAAGTATCAACTACCCAATTTATCAAGCACCCACAGTGAGCTATTATCATCAGAATCCGGTTTCTTGGCCATCAGGCCCCGCAAACGGGCTGATGTCCTTCCCCCACTCCAATCACTATTTATTTTCCAATGGTTATGGTTATGGTTTGAATGGTAATGCGCCATTCATGCAGTATGGGTCCTTGCAGCCTCTGGCCCCACCATTGCTTAATCATTCTCATGTTCCTGTATTCCAGCCCGTTTCTCAGGTTAGCACAAACGAGCCCACTAATGCCACCCATCTACCTTCTGCTACTGATCAACCAGAAATGCCAAAAGCTGTGGATGATGGATGGAATGCGAAGGCTGATAAAACAGATATGTGCGGTAGTGGTTTTTCTCTCTTCCATTTTGGAGGCCCTGTAGCTCTTTCGACAGGATACAAAGCTGATCCCTCAACCTTGAATGAAGGGATTATTGGGGATAAGGAAAAATCGTCGGCTACTGGTCCTGATAACGATAGTTCATGCAGTGAGAAGGATCCTGTTGAGGAGTACAACTTGTTTGCTGCAACTAATGGCATCAAATTTTCCATCTTCTGAGGTGGTTTAATGTAAGCAAGGAGTCCCCTTCTTGTTCTTGTTCCTTTATTTTATACCGGACTATGGAAGCTTTGAAGTTTGAACAAACTCAGAACCCTTATTTATTTTATTTTGTGTTTTTTTCTTCTTTATACCTGAGTGATGATGAGTGATGCGAGGTTTGAGTACTTTGTAAGTTGGTGCGAAATAATTCTCGTGGGAGAAAATTTTAGCGTCGTTTACATCTTATTTCTTCTTTTATCTAGTTCTTCCCCCTCTCCCCCTATACTTCAGTGTTTTGTATTGTTTTTTTCTCTTATGCAGAGGATGTATTGAGAAAATTTCATCATGTTTGAGTTTGTATGCATGAATTTAGACTGCAACTCTCCTGTCTTGATATATGACTGCTTTATAGTACAGATTAAGAAAACTTCTATTATTCAGGTGCTTTTAACTTGGCTGGTATGAGGTAAGAATCCAATTAGATGATCGTAACATACAATATTCCAGACGATGGCTCGAATTTTTCAAAACTGAGAATGATGTCAACTGTTACGCGAATAGACCAGATTTTCCTTTAATCTCAGCTAATAACCATTTGTATTTATATTCTTAATTGAAAATCAAGGTAGTGTTTATATGGAGTCATCTATAACTTTATGTATTGACACATGTCCAATGTGCATTTATTACCGGACATGCGTCAATACATCATTTGTGAATAGCTATGGATGACTCCATAATTCGAGCCATCCGATGGGTCCATAGCAAAACCTTACAAAATCTATATCTCAAATCCCACTTTCTACGTGGTTTAATTAATATCAATTTGAGTTTGGAGTTTTAATCAACTCACCATCATTTTCAGATCCCAGTATGGCATGCAGGCATTACATTACAAGCAGCAAATACAAGTGTACAACAACACGAGTAGACATTTCATAGCTTACGGGTCACTACTGGGGAGTTTACTAAGAATCGTGTGTTCGGGCTTATGATCGCATTCATAGTCGAGATGAACAAATGCCCTCTCGACTTCAGGCAGCTGTTCAATCTTTATCTGCAACGATTCCCCAATGGCATGAGCTTCGATCAACGGCAAGTCCTCTGGAAGCTCTATATCAACCTGTCAATCAAATCCAAAATTAATATGAAACTAGTTCGAAGAGCGCACTTAATCCAATTTTGCTTATTTCACAGAACAAAGTACATGTAAATAAGCTTTTACCTCGACAAAGTAAAGAACACCAAAAGTGTAAGCACGGACTGTATCTACACGCTTGATCTTAGAGTCGTGCTTTAGAACAAGATAAGTAAGTTTTTGCAGTACCTCCGGAGGGGCAGATTGTCCGACAAGTGAAACTGCAAAACCAAACGCCAAATCCGATTATTCGTAACTTCTTCATGATGTCTGAGAGAGTATGAATAGAAAAAAAGAACCTGCATTTTCCAGCACAGTCCCCGACCAATTCGTAATAGTGTATACGGCTAAAGCTATAGCGCCAGCTGGATCGATCCACCAGAAAAATCGATTGCCAAGAACAGCCGCAACCAAACCCACCACGTTTGTCACCACATCGAAATAATGATCCTATATTAGAATAACATGTGAATATTTTTATTTTTTAGTTAACAAAGTGGGAAATAAAGAGAAGGCGACACTGAAATTACCTTAGCATAAGCACGAACGATCTTATTTCCCGAGCTTCGACAGTAAATCCACAGAACAAATTTGACGGCTGTTGCAGTTAGCATAATCACATACAGCCAGAGCAGTTGGTGTGAGGTCATTTTCTCTGAGGGCTCGTGTTTAATCAGCTGCTCAACGGCCTGTATTAGCACCTGAAAGCCTGAATAAAGAGAAGTTTAATATCAAGAACCCAGGAATCATTAACTTAAAATTCCACACGGGACAGGACACGAGTTTTATGCGTGTTTGAGCATGGGAAAATGAAAAACGAACCAAGAGTTGCCATAATGGCAGCAAAGATGATGATCCCCACGGGTTGAACTCGCAATTTTCCAATAGGATATTTATATATGTTTATGGTCTTCATGGACAAGTGAGTAAACCATAATATTCCGCCAGCCATTAGATCGAGTAAAGAATCGAGGGTTGATGCTGCAATGGCCAAAGACCCACTTTGTACTGTGGCATAAATCTTAAATGCAAGGAGGAATACATTAGCCGAATTGGAGATATTCATTGCTCTCTCGTGTTGTGCCTGTTGTTGACGATCAATTTGTTCTTCATCGATGACTACGTTTGGTGAGTCGAGGGAGTCGACTTCCTCAAATGACCTCAATGTGGCAAATTGTCTTTGATAATAATCCTTCTCACCTGGAGTTAAGCAAGATGAATTAGTAGAAAAATGAAGATGATGAAAAGGGGGGGGCCTCAACCTCAGGATCATCATCAAGCTGCATGTGACTTAAGCTTGTCAGGCAAATTAGAGAAGAAATAAGTTAATGGGTTTACGTACCTTTAAGCAATCCTTTAGCAGAAGAAAGATGAAGATCAAAATGAAGAAGAAGGTGGTGCTGCTGCTCGGGATCAACAACTACCCCACACTGCTTCTTCACCTTATCTGGCAATCTCTGAACAAAATCAGCAACTGTTGTTGATCTGCTCGTCCAACTCCCGGCGGCCTTAATTTCTTCATCATCAAACCCCCCTTGAACTTGATTATCATTTTTTCTTATTATAACCTCTCCTCCTTTTAATAATGGCTTCCTCAAATCCTTATTATCATCCATTATTAATTGCATGCTACCTCTTCAACAATATTAACTGCTCTGCTAATTAAACTATTGTTTTTTTTTTTTTTTTATTAATTCAAACTGAAATTAAGTTAACCTTTTGGAGAAGAAGAAAAACAAAAATATGTAGTATGTGTTTGGAGCTAGCTATTAGCTACATATGTGTGCCCTTTTTTCATGATTAATAATTTAACTAATTTTTGTAATGAAAAATATTTATTTAGATACGTAATAAAAGATATGAATGTGCATTTATATATGTATATATAGTCCATTAATAATTACTGTAGCTAGCTGGTGTGTCAGATGTGTGTTCCTCGCAATTTAATGCAACAATGGTGACTGCTCACTCCTTTTGAATAGCCAATTAATTAATTAGGCAAATAATATATATATATATATAGATATGATCAAATTGTTATCAACTTCCATTCAATTTTTGAAATTTTTGGTCTCCTTTTGTGTTCTCTTCATCAATAACGTATAATATTTTGTTAGTGAGGTAATGGCAATGTGTTAAGTCAGCTCGATCGAGTAGTTGGCTTGGCCCATATTGATCATATATAGGGTGGTCCTGTAGCTGACTTCTTGACTCATTATTGTATTTTATTTTATTAGTATACTTTATTTAATACTTTATAATTTATTCTCATATACGTGTATTTTATATATAAGTTTAAACGTATACAGTTTAGAAAAAGATCAACGTGGTATAAAGACTGTCACTGACTCTTGTTTATAATCATGACATACGAAACATGCACAAAAATATATAAATACAGACACGAAATTATAAAAAATAAAAATAAAATATACGTTTCAAAGTTCGAAATTAAAAAAAAAATCAAATAATCTGGCTTACAGTTTTATCATGCAGAACCAACTCGAAATATGATTTGTATGTGTTGCCCCAGTCTTGGAAAAACATTCTCACAATTCGAACTCTGAGCATAGGTCTATTAGACCTATTGACTTGTTTGATTAAGCAAATTCTTTATTCATTGTTTTGAATAAAGAAGGCCTCT